AAACGCAAGCGAACAAATATCCTGAAGTTGTTACATCGGTACAGCCCTAAAGATTCCAGTATTCTTTACGCGCCTAGCTTCACTGATAATTCTTCAATTCTCTTGTCATATATGCCTGCTGAGCGTACTTTACAAGCTTTTCACGAAGATCATTCTCACTCATATATCAAGGACACTGGATGAAGCCCAACCTATAAAGCTGGATTTCGTAAGGGATCTGCTGCCTGGATCACGTCCAGACGGTTTCGAGGATAGTCGAGGTTTGCCGAGAGTACCACCTACCTCTCGTCGCAACTTTCGTTGACTATGAGAAAGCATTTGACAGCGTCGAGACTAATGCTGTGCTGTCAGCGCTCGTCGACCAAGGGATGGACACATTTCGCGTGAGAACATTGGCCGACTGCTACAAGAGCTCTACAACGGTACAGCTTTTCCACTGCCCCTTTGACATACCAATTTTGAAGGAGGTTCGGCAAGATGACGCCAAGTCGCCAAGGCTGTTTACTGTTGCCTTGCAGTGGGTGATGAAACCACTGGAGGAACAAGAAAGCTATACGAGTTGATGAGGGATTCCTCTCAACCTTCGTTTTGCGGAGGACATTGTTTACGTCTTGAGAAATATCATTGAAGTGGAGACGATGTTTAAAAAACTAAACAAAGTAGGGAAGCGGAGAGAGTGCAAGTTAACCGGAAGAAAACATAAAGAACGCTTTTTGGAGGATTAGGAAATGAAATTAGAAGCTCTACACTCGCGGATATATCGTTTTACGTATATCTCGGGCGTTGGTTGAATATGGAGAACGATCTGAAAGAAGGACTAAACAGGAGGAAAAGAGTAGCTTGGGCCGCCTTCGGGCCCCTAAAAAACAACGGATTAAATGACGGATCCGGAGCTCCGAGCCAGTTCTCCCTGCTCTATTTTACGCAGCGGGGCGTGGCCTGACACTGGCTACTTCGAAGGCTTTTGAATAATCCGTAGAGCGCTGTAACGTCTTCTAAAGTACACGACGTACTGAACATCTCGTGAGCTTCGCAGTTCAGATATAAGATTAATGTGTCGTCTTCGCGATCCAGCGAAATATGTTTCTCACGCATAACACGATGGGTTGGCCATTCAATGAGAAGAATATACGGCATATGGACACTAAGAACTCTGGAATGGATCCCTCGCGAAGCAAGACGTCCTCAAGGGAGGCCGCCCCAGATGAGCTGTGTTTGTTACACGGTGGACCAGCTGAATTAGGTGGTGACGAGCAATAAATTTGGAGCTCGCGAACGTCGCCGCCGCAGTTCGATACCATCG